AAAAAAAAAAAAAAAAAAAAAAAAAAAAAAAAAAAAAGAGTAAAGACAATGTTCGAGAAATCAAAGGTAAGGGCATCTCCAATGGTAATAGCTATTACTAGCTATATACATGGACGGACTTACATTAGGCCTGGGCTGGGCTGAAGCCCAGGCCTATTACTTGCTTTAACTATTAATTACTTTAATTTTTTCTTTCTTTTTAAATCCCTAGCCCAACCCAATTAAAATACTCAAGCCCAATTGTCCAAATGGCATTGAAAATAATAGCGTGATATACATTTATATATAAACTATTTATATTTTAACATATCATTTTTTATCTTTTATTTTTTATATCTAATATTTTATTTCCTGTATATTATCTTTTACTTTTTTACGTCTTCTCTAAATTGATGGTTCCAATTCAAATCTTTCGTCAGATTTTCTTTTACATACATGACGTCTCTATCTTTTTCAATAACCATAATTTGTCTCTTCTCCATATTCTCTTTCTTTTTCATCTTCTCATTTTATTTGTTTCAAAAACCCGATCCAAATTGGTGGGCTGGTAGGCATTCATTGTCATACCTAATTGACTAATAATTGTTTTTTGCTGCACTTTTATTTATATATTGCTATATTTTTGTACCTTACCTGATTTTTTTTGTCTCTTTCGTTGTCATGTTTTGTAATTTTGTTCGATAGTTGTCTTAGTTTTATTCATGGGACACTTGTCTGTTTGTAAATGGAGAAAAAATGGTGTTATGAGGTTTGATTATTGTGTGAGATCCAGGATTGAGTGCTTGGTCTCGAGAGAAAAAAATAAATTTGAATGGATTTCTTAATTCTAGTTTGTTGGATTTAGTGCTTAGTTTGGACTTTGGATAGGAGAAAAGAAATATGAAGGGATTTCTTAATTCTAGTTTGCTATGGGAGATTTCTTTTTGCATATTTTGCACTTTTGGTAGACAATTTTTATTTGTTGTAAGTTTATTTTTGAATGGTTGATCATGATACACAATGTGAAAATGATCAATTAAAAATATATATATATTTCAACTCATGTTTGGCTTAAATAAATGGACATATTTGGCTTGTGAAATTTTTAAAATTCGCATGAAGCAACAACTTTAGGCCAAAAAGGTCGTCGAACGGGAGTTTACTAATAGTATAAGTATAGATTCTATTGTTGATGAATTTTATTATGTAAAAGTTCGTTGAACACAAATTCAGTAAATATCTGAAGAAAAAATATTATGTGATTTTTATGAAAATGAGTACTTAAAATTTTAGCCCAGTCTACTCTTAGTTTCTGGATCCGCCCCTGGCTATATAGTCAGCTTACATGGATGTGAGAGATAAGAAAAATAATTATTTTACACTATTGGACCCACATACTCCTCTCACATAATATTGGGCTACGTGAAATAGATAAGCTATTTGTTAGTAGCTAGTGACTACTCTATCTCTTACTTTTCCCCTGTCCACGTCATAATAGCTAGCCAAATAGCTAACCATTGGAGACACCCTAATGGGCCTTTGTTGTCGGTGTGAGGCTAAAGAGTAAAGACAATGTTTTTGTTTGTGCGTGTTTCCTCTAAAATAAGTGTATAATAATAATTGAGCACTAGGGTGTGATTGGATATGAATCATATTCGATTTTAATCGATTTTGAACGACTGAGTTATTTGTATCAATCAAAATTCAACTCAACTCAACTTTTCTTTTTTTTTTTTTATCGATATAATATTAAATAACATTGATCAATTATTTTCACACATCACATAAACCATCAACTCACATATTTTTGTTTACTTATCACTTCAAATAACATATATATTTCTACTTTTACAACATATCAACTTTAATTATTACATTTTAAATATTATTTATTTCCAAACTAAAAATCACTCACTCAATCAAATTTATTTAAAATAACTCACTTTGCCGGTTTGCCCAACCAAAACTGATCAAATTCATATCTAATCACACCCTAAATACATTTAATATTTTTTTGTTTGAGAAATAGCAAGGGGATTGTGATTAGATATTTTTGTTTGGCCTAGTTGCTAATAAAATCATGAACCTTTTTATTTCTTACTCTTCATAATCGCATTATGTGATAGCACGATATGAGGAACCATACGATAATGTCACAAGATCGAACGATGTGATCATCATACAATATAATCGTATTACACAATTGTATGATGTGATCACACCATACAACATATAAAATATATATAATTTAAAAAATGGCATGAAAAATTTAATACACGTACATTTTGGCGTGAAAATAATTATTTTCACCGTTGTTTTAGTCGTCAATATATCAAAATATTGAATTTTAACCTTATTATTTTCACAGTCAGTAATAATATCATAACAAAATAAGTGAACCGCTAAACATCGCCCCCTTTAAGATATTTACCGTCTCCCCCAAAAGTCACATTTGCCCTCCACCTCATTTCTCTCTCTCTTCTACTCTCTTTCTCTCTCTCGTTTTTCGCTCATTTGACGTCCGAAAAAATTCCAAAAAAATGTCGGGACCATCTAAACGCGGAGGCAAGGGATTCTTCGTTCGATCTGTACGTTTTTTTTTAAATTTCGATCAAAAAATTTTTTAAATTTTTTTTTTGGTTCTGTTGGTGGCCGGCCACAATTGCCGGCCAAAAAATCGTTTGGCCGGCCACCCTTGCCGGCTACAAAATCGAATGGCCGGCCGCGGGTGCCGGCCAACCTCGGCGCAGGGTTGTGCCGGCCACCCTAGGCCGGCTGTTGGGGGCCAGCCGAAGCCATCGGCCGGCCTTTTTTTTTTCTTTTATAAATTTTAAATTAATAGAAAATAATATAAAAAAAATATTAAATATTTCGAAAATTGTTTTTCGAAAATAATTAATAAAATTATTTTCGAAAATTATTTAAAAATATTTTTGAAAAATATTAATAAAATTATTTAAAATATATAAATAAAATATTTTTAATATATAAATATAGTAATTATTATAAATTGTATAAAAATATTAAAATTGTTTTTTTCAAAAATTAATATTTAAAAAAATTAATAAATTTTTATTATTTTTTATAATAAATATATAAATTGAGTAATTATTATAAATTGTATAATATTATTAAAATTTTTTATTATTAATTATTAGTTTAATTTGTTGATTTAGAGTGATGGATCTGAGCGAGTTGTGGAGTTTGGTCAGCTCGACGGTTTTGGACCCCGACACACGAAGAGCCGGTTTGTAGATGCCGACGTTTGTCTGGAGAGGGAGGCGAGGATCCGTGAGGCTCAGTTAGCTCAGGCTGAGATGGCTAGGAGATTGCCACCGATCGTTTCTTCGGAACCGAGTGGTCAGCAGAGCGGTGGGCAGCCCAGCTCATCGATGGCTGGCAGTATGCCGATGAGGATACGTATTCGTCAGTCGTCGGCTCCGATCGTCGAGAGTCCGGTCCACTATTATCAGCAGGACGATGACCAGGATGATGACCAGGACGATGATGAGGGCGAGGAGCCTGACTCTGGAGATGAGCAGACCGCGTCACTTCCTCCTCCTTTCCCTGTACGACCGGTACGACCGGTACGACCTGCTCCTCTACGACAGGCTGGGGATCGTTTTGGTGGTACTGCATCCTCCTCTGGTAAATATTCTACGTACTTTAATTTTTTATTGTTAGTTACATATACTTTTATTTATTAATAACATATCATTGATATAGTTAGTCACAATATGTCGTGTATATATCTAATACGTAATTGTCTAGTTGTCTATTTTGTCAATTACATATATTTTTATTTTGTCTGAGGAATAGAAAAGGATTTATTCCGTTGGTAAATATCAAAAAATTTATTCCTAACTTACAATACCTTAATGCACAAAATTTATTTTCATTTCATCTAACAAGGTAATTTTATTTTTAACTATCAAATCTACAATAAGATATGATTTTCCTAAAAATTTTATTATTCATAAAAATTTATATTTTTTCTTTTCAAGTTATTAGTATAATTAAAAATAAAATCACTCACTCCTATATTTTGTTCTTAATTTATTAGTATAATTTTTAAATAGAATGAATGAATACTACATTTATATTTGAGCTTTAATGGAATAATTAGTTATTTATAGATCATTAAAAAAATCTTTTAATTAACTAAATAATCAGTCACAATATGGCGTGTATATATCTATACTTATTTGTTGTATTGTAAATGCAGGTTCGAGTAGCAAGCGGGCTAAGGGTGAGGAGTCTTGGGTCGTTAAAGCCCCAGTACCCGGTGGCCCCAGTGACGGGAGCGTTATCCCTAGCTTTCTAGGGCACGTGGCCTCCCGTATGACGTTGCCTGGACCAGACAGGCATGTTAGAGGCATATTGAAATGTCAAAACAGGCATGGAGCGCACGACACTCTGAAGGAGTGGCTGGCCAAGATGGATCCCGAGCCACGTGCTTTGATAGATCAGTCGGGGATGTCACATCTGGCGGACTCCGTGCATGCGCACCTGGACACTCCACTACTTTCTGCATTCGTGGAGCGCT